TTTAAGGGATCTAGGGCTGTGCAGGATGTGCCTTGTTAACAAAATGTTTACAGGCAGTATGCTTGGGAAAAGTCATCGCCCTTCTCCAGTCTTCATAAATCAGGGATACAATGCACTGAGGAAATCTGCAGAGACCTCTGCCCTGGAAAGCCGGGTATTGGCCAAGGTTTCTCCCCATGTGATAGTCTGAAATATGGCCTCGTGGGAGGGGAAAGACCTGAGCGTTCCCCAGCCCAACACCCGTGAAGGGTCTGTGCTGAGGAGGATTAGTAAAAGAGGAAAGCCTCTGGCAGTTGAGATAGAGGAAGGCCAGTCTCCTGCCTGCCCCTGGGAACTGAATGTCTCGGTATAAAATCCGTGTACATTTGTTCAGCTCTGAGATGGGAGAAAAACTGCTCTGTGGTGGGAGGCGAGACATGGTGGCAGCAATGCTGCTCTGTTAGTCATTACTCCACTGAGATGTTTGGGTGAGAGAAGCATAAATCTGGCCTACGTGCACATCCAGGCATAGTACCCTCCCTTGAACTTATTTGTGACACAGACTCCTTTGCTCACATGTTTTCTTGCTGACCTTCTCCCCACTATCACCCTCCTCTCCCACTGCACTCCTCTTGCTGAGATAGTGAAAATGGTAATCAATAAATACTGAGGGAACTCAGAGACCGGTGCCAGTGCAGGTCCTTCGTATACTGAGTGCCAGTCCCCTGGGCCCACTTTTCTTTCTCTATACTTTGTCTCTGTGTTTTATTTTTTTCTCAGTCTCTCGTCTCACCTGACGAGAAAAGCCCACAGGTGTGGAGGGGCTGGTCCCCTTCATTTGCATGGGCATTTCCCAGGCTAAAGGCTCCAGAGGACTGCGCAGCAGCGATTTTGGAGAGGAGAACCATAAAACCCACTGTCTCAGCCTCCCGGGGAGGCTGGCTGTGACCCCTGCCAGGGCCACTGGCACCTCTAGTCACCCTTACCCACTCCACTTGATGTCTTCTCCTCTCCTTTCCTCTCCTCTCCTCTCCTCTCTTCCTTTTTAACGGAGTCTTGTTCTGGGGTGCAGTGCTGCCATCTCGGCTCACTACAACCTCAGCCTCCCAGGTTCAAGTGATTCTCCTGCCTCGGCCTCCCAAGTAGCTGGGATTATAGGTGCATGCCACCATGCCTGGCTAATTTTTGTATTTTTAGTAAAGACGGAGTTTCCCCATATTGGCCAGGTTTGTATGTCCTTGTTTCTTGATCACACCTATTGTTAATTGCCTGCCTCTCCCAAGTAACCCAAGACCTCTGCAAGGGCAAGGATCTTTCTATATTTTATTCACAAGCCCCTAAAAGCCCCTTTCTGTCCCCACACAGAGAGGACACTCAGTGAATATTTATTGAATGGATGGATGGATGAACTGATGGGACAAATAAAAGCCACAAGTGCTCAGGGGATTTGTATTTGCTCCTATCTCTGTGGCTGTCTCGCTGTGGGACCTTGTGCAAGTGATGTGATCTTCCTGAGCCTCAGTTTTCTCATCAGTAAAATGGGACGGTCACACCAACTGGAAGGCTTGTGGGCCAGTGAGATGGGGAAAGCACTCATGTCGTGCCAGGCTTTGATAGGCATCTAGGAAGTGCTGGTTATGTCAAAATCAAAATCCACTCATTTATTCACAAGGTCGGTCGGCCCACAAATATGTGACCTGAGAAGGCTTCTGAGAAGGAGTAGTGGTTGACCTTCCCTGAAAGACTGAGTAACACGCTGGAGGGAAGTGGTGGGAGTGGGAGAGGACGAGGAACAAGGAGAGCATCCAGAAAAGTTGGAAGATGTAGGGAGATGGCACACGGACCTACAAGAAGGAGCAGGCACGGCCACATCCCAGTGGGCAGACCTGCCAGGCTAAGGCTTGTGACCCCCTCCCAGAGGAGAGGGGAGCTTTGCAGGGGGCTGACTGTGTCTGGACACAGGTGATTGGCAGGGCAGTTTTTCTTTCCAGCAAGTACGTGTTGGGTGTGTGCTCTGTGGCATGTGCCGGCCTGGGCATGGAGGATACAAGGACACCTAGTCTGCAGGCAGAGGGACACACAACACACGGACCTGCCTGAGTCTCTCTCAAACTGCGCACCTGCTGCAGCCCACCATAGTTCTTCAATTAAAGACCAGCATCCCTCTGTGGCCCACGGTTTCTCACCTACCTCTCGGCCCCGCTCCCACCCCTTCTTGCTTACTCATCTCATTTCAGCTCCTCACCCGTGCCACTCCCGACCTCAGGGCCTTTGCACATGCTGTTCCCACTGCTTGGTGGGGTCTCCCTGGGCTCCCACCCTCATTTCTTCCTCTTTTTTTCTTTTTCAAAATAGAATTTATTTTTACAGTGAATAATACAAATGTGGCTATAAAAACAGAACATGATACTTAAAAATATTTAAGATATGCAACTGTCATTTTAAAAACAGAATTAGTTAAAAGGAAGATGAATAAAGAACTCGAGCTTATGCCTGATTTCTATTGGTTTACTTAGAAATACCAATCAGTATTTAACATGTTATTAACTATGCTGGAAAAAACACTTCTATATGCAGTTTTAATTCCTAACTACAGTTTAAAAACAGATGAGTTCCCAGCATTTGGAGCTCTCCCTAAATGTTACATCCTGAGGAAGCCTTTCTTGGGCCACCGGACTGGACGTGACCCTTCTGTGACACGTGACCCCCCGACTGGATGTGATCCTTCTGTGACACATGACCATCCGACTGGACACGATCCTTCTGTGACACGTGACCGTCCGACTGGATGCAATCCTTCTGTGACATCCTTTGCAAGCTCCGCAACGTTTCCTTCACCGTGCCCACTGCAGCTCATGACAGATGTGTGTTTATTGTATTCATGATGGCTTCCCTCACTGATTAACCCCAGGAAGGCAGGAACCGGTCTACATACATCAACAATAAGCTCAGAGATTGCAGCCCGGAAGTCATCATTTAATGGAGGATTGACTGCAGCCCACAGGGGGCTGGAGGGAACATTCAGACCCACTCGCCATCGTCATGCATGGAGGTGAGGGTTTTGGAAGGCTGCTTGGAAGAGGCTGCTTGGAAGATGTTGGAAAGGTAGAGAAGAGTTCACAAAGAGGTCCTAATGGCCTGGTGTATTAAAGGGTGAGTAGGAGTTTGTTAGGCTGGAGGAGGGAATTCTCATTAGAGGAGGCAGCGGAAGCAAATGCCTGGGGCAGAGTTTTGAGAAACAGCTGGTCATCGCAGACACTGGAGGGGGCTGGAGGAGGACCACAGCAGGGCCTCTCTACTGCAAACCCACGTGCCAGGCACAATGGCCATGCAACCTCATGTGATCCTCAGAGGTAGGTAGGTAGATAGAGGGTATTAGACTCTAGCTTAGCCGCTGAGGTAGATATTATGATCCTCTCTCAATAAATGAAGCAGCTAAGGCTCAGAAAGGTTTAGTGACATGCCCAGGTCACCCGGCCACTCAGTGGCTTGCCTGGCTGTGTCACGTCCCCAGTGTCATATGTTGTGCACCTGACACCGTAGCTGAGGGTTTCTGTGTCTTTCCATACCCACCCTTCAGGCTGGGGCAGGGGAAATTATATCGGCAAAGGGCTCGGCTGAGATTCCCAGCCTTTTCCCCAGGTCTGTGTCCCTGTGCGGGGTCTCAACCTTCTCCCTCACCCCCACCCTCTGGAAAAGGGGCTGTGCACTCTGGGCTCCCGGGCTCAGCCTTCACCACTGTCCACCAGCCCCGGCCCCCCACCAGGCAGCCTTCTCCACCAGCCTCTGGGGACTCCTCCCTTCCTGCCCCAAACCAGAAGATGGGGCGCTTGCTGCATGTGGCTAACCCTGAGGCCACGAGGAAGCCACTTCACTTCTCTGAGCCTCAATTTCCAAGTCTGTCATAGGGACGCCCACTCTGGCTGCTCTGAGAGCACTTGTGACCAGAACACAAAGGACACTTTGAGCTGCAAACTGCTAAACAGGCCCGGGAAATGATAAGTAGTAACAGCCGAGGCTTCTCAGTGCCAAGCCAGCAAGTATCCTCTCCTCTCCAAACACCGGAAGCCCTGGGAATTCCCTGCAGGAGAAGAAGGAACCAGATGCCTGAAAGGAGCTTGCCCCAGGCCGGGGACCTGTGCACGGCCCTGCGAGCACCTGGTGCCCTCTAGTGGCCACAGGCGGCCCTGCAGGGCCGCATTTTCTGGAGCCACTCACTCTTCGATTGAACTTGCTAACAGGTTTAAACCGCAGGATCTACCTTTGACAACAAGATAAGGAGGGGACAGGGGAGGGAGGGTGCCAGGACGTTCTTTTTGTGCCTGAAATGGATAAAGCTGGCGGCAAATTCTAGCTGCTACTCTAGACTTCGTCCTTCTAATGTTGCCCGAGGGGCTGGACTGGCCCTGTCCCTGTTTCCCCATCCACCTAGATGCTGGCTGAGCCCAGAGCTCCCACGTGGACACACTGGGACAGATAATTGGCCGAGGGCTCACAGAGGCGGGAACAACTTTTTTTAAAGCGCTGAACTAGCTTCCTCGGAGCCCCAAAGGGAGTGGCAGGACCTTCACTTCAGAAATAAGAAGACAGGCCCAGAGAGGGTCTGTGGCTTTCCCAAAGATACCTCATTCTAGGATTTGAACCCAGTCTCTCCCTCCAGTCTCCAGGTACTTGCGGTGGCCCATACCTTCCCCAAATTATCCACCAATAGCCAGTTAACCTGGGGCAGGGCTGTGGGGAGAAACGTTTGTTTATTAAATTACAGAGTCCCTCTGCCTGCCGGAGGGGAGAGGAGAATGCCACCGAGTGGGTGGGGCATCGAATCCCAGCATTTGAATGGGTAGGGAGGGAACGGGCCACAGGACTTCCTAGAACTTGCGATTTTGCTCTTTCGGGCAGTCTACGGAGATGGTGATGGGGAGGGGCTAAGCTGAACTGTGCCTGTCACTTCCATCTCAGGAAGACGGAACACGTTCAACCCCAAGCCATGTTCGGGGTCTGCGGCAAGCAGGAATTCTCCTTTATTTTCCAATAGGGTTAACAATCTTTCCCAGGAAGAGCACGGAAGTTATTTTCTGGCTGTAAATCAGCAGCAGATAGGGTCTGTTTATCTTGACGACGAGTGGTGTCTCCATGGGCAGAGTCTGTGCTCCGGTGCCAGCGGCCCCCTCCGTACCCCTCTCATCCATCTTCAGCACAGCCTTGTGCACAGCCTGTGGAAGCCAAAGGCAAAGTCAGGGACTGCCAAGCTGCTCAGCGACCATGGTGGCCGGAGGCCCAGAGAGGATCAGAGAGCGAGACAACTTGGTCCAAGCTGTCCAGCACAGCAGTAACTTGGTTTACTCCAGGGTTTCTGGCTCTTTTGCCATTAATGCTGGAGAATATTCGACAAGCAGATGCCGCATGAAGGAAAAGATGGTGCAGGGAGAGCATCAGTTACAGGGGTCGGTGCAGGGAGAGATGGAGTGGGGTTTGCTTCTCTTTCTCATGGGTTACAAGGAAGCATCAACCACAGCCGTGGCAGAAAAGGTCTACTGGGCTGTAGCTGGGTGAAGGTAAGGTGGTGGTATCCCCACCCTGAAGCCTCCAGCACCTCCTTTCATCCACCTGGTGGATGGTTAAGAGGGAGGAAGATTCTGGATTAGCTCTGAGATGACTTGCATCCCAAATCCACTCCAAAGGCATCAACATTTGTAAACAGGTGATCAGTACTGGGAAGCTGATGGGTATGTGTGAAATCCTTGCACATTTCTTTCTAGTCTGCAAAATTCTCACAATTTTCCTTGCAGAAAACAGGACAGTATCCTGTGTTAGAATCACAGCTATCAGTAAACGTAACTACAGCACAAAACGAGCCATTAAACTCAACAAGACCTTCAGAGCTGGTGTTGAATGTTTGTGGGAAGTCTGTGGCAGGAAAGCTCAAAAGTGAGAAAATTCTAACTGTGTTTCGTATGTCAATGTGAAAAATACAGTGGAATCTGTGCCATCTGATTCAGAGCAGCGGGCTCAGCTTGGCAAGCTGGATCCTTCCCAGACTGGCTTGAACCTCCCACTTCCTCTCCATTAAGCACCTAATCCCCACCACGCACTACTGCATGATATCTGAAAACCCCCAGCCTTGGCCACACTGCTGCACCTACTCCCGCACCCATCTCTGCTCGTTGAAATCTTTCCCTTCCTTCGATGCCTTTTTAACCCCAAAGTAGGGTTGCCAGGTGAAATACAGGACATCCAGTGAAATTTGAATTCAAGATAAACAATGAATATGTTTTAGTGTAAGTATGTCCCGTGCAATATTCGGAACATACTGGCACTAAAATAATTATTCATCATTTATCTAAAATTCAAATTTTTTTTTTTTTTTTTTGAGATGGACTCTCGCTTCGTTGTCCAGGCTGGAGTGCAGTGGCCGGATCTCAGCTCACTGCAAGCTCCGCCTCCTGGGTTTACACCATTCTCCTGCCTCAGCCTCCCAAGTAGCTGGGACTACAGGTGCCCGCCACCTCGCCCGGCTAGTTTTTTGTATTTTTTAGTAGAGACAGGGTTTCACTGTGTTAGGCAGGATGGTCTCGATCTCCTGACCTCGTGATCCACCCGTCTCGGCCTCCCAAAGTTCTTGGATTACAGGCTTGAGCCACTGTGCCCGGCCTAAAATTCAAATTTATCTGGGTATCCTGTATGAAATCTGCTAAATTTGGTGACCTTACTTATATGCTGCTCTCTTTCGGCCCCAGGCAATCAGGTGCTCACCTTTGCCAGAGGCCACAGGCCCCTTTGCTTGGTCATCTCTTCCTATGCAGCACATGCTTACGCCAACTCATACAAAATGTGCGGCCTTGGGCACGGTGGTTCACGCCTGTAATCCCAGCACTTTGGGAGGCCAAGATGGGTGGATGACCTGAGGTCAAGAGTTTGAGACCAGCCTGGCCTACATGGTGAAACCCCGTCTCTACTAAAAATACAAAAAAAAAAAAAAAAAAAAAATTAGCTGGGCGTGGGGTGGGTGCCTGTAATCCCAGCTACTCAGGAGGCTGAGGCAGGAGAATTGCTTAAACCTGGGAGGTGGAGGTTGCAGTGAGCCAAGATGTACCATTGCACTCCAGCCTGGGCAACAGAGCAAGACTCCGTCAAAAAAAAAGAAAGAAGAAAGAAAGAGAGAAAGAGAGGAAGAAAGAGAGAAGAAAGGAAGGAAGGAAGGAAGGAAGGAAGGAAGGAAGGAAGGAAGGAAGGAAGGAAGGAAGGAAGGAAGGAGAGAGAGAGAGAAAGAAAGAAAGAAAGAAAGAAAGAAAGAAAGAAAGAAAGAAAGAAAGAAAGAAAGAAAGAAAGAAAGGAAGGAGAAGCATGTTGCCTTTGAGAGAGGGTCTGGGTTAGATCTAGACCAGTTCCAGGCCTGATAACTGTTCCAGGCCTTGATCAACGTTTGCTACATTGAATAGATTTCCAAAATAGCAGCAGTTTTAAAGACTGGAAGCATGAGGCTGGGGGAGGTTATGTGGTTTGCTCAGTATCACGGGATTGGATTCATGGCCGCCCCAACTGGTGGGTGGAGTCCTGGCTCTGACAGCCACTGTGACCCTGGCTCTGGCCTGGGGCTGGGCGAAGGCCCCTGTGCTGCAGGGAGTGGAGTCCAGGCTAGGCAGGCTTACCTCGCTGACTTTCAGGTTGCGACAAGGGGCGATCTTGGTGAGATCACCATGCTCCTCGAAGATTTTGGAGATACCCATGTAGGAGAGGGTCTTCTTCAGGTCAAAGGAGCCCGTCATGTGGAGTCTGGGCACAGACACATCTACAACCCTGGGGAATTGACACGACAAGGGTGAGTGGTTAAGTCCCGTCGTGTTGCAGGGCAGGCCTCAGGATACATGACAAATGAAATGTGTCCTCCCAGCCCCAAAGGTCTCCAATCTCTCTCCATCCACAGAATGAGAAGGGATTCCTTAACCCTGGGACCCTGGTTTCAAAACACTGTAAGCAATCGGAACAGTGTCCCTGCCTCCCAGCACACCTGCCCCAGAGCCCTCTACAGGGAGTGTTCTCAAGTCTCAAGTCCCCCTGTCTCAGAGCCCCTTCAGTCACAGTCACTGACGATGTCCCCACTGTAGTCACTGCCATGCCTGAGCCCTGAGCCCATCCTGATCCTGGAATATCTGACGCTGGAGGGAACAGGGCACCCAGAATCTGGAGCTAGACAGAACTGAGTTCAAATCCACTCTGCCTCTCATGAGCTCTGTGACTTGGGGCAAATGACCTTCCCTCTCTAAGTCACTTACGCGAGAAGGAAGCTGATCATCATCCCTCTCCCGAGACACTAGGGGTGCTAAGGCAAATGCAGACAAGGTGCTCAGCAGACAGTTGGCGCTTAGCACTTCACATCCAACTAGCAACTTCACATCCTCTGTGGCTGAACCGCGATCAGCCTCCTGCCTGGAGCCTGGGGCCAGGGTCTCCTGAGGTACCTGCAGACCCTGGACTCCTGTTCACCTGGCCTTGCACCCTATTTTCCCACCTACCCAAGGACCTCATTCCTGCCTATGTGTCCTCTCTCTCCTGCATCATCCTTCAACAGTGCCCCTTTGATCCTCCTCTGGGGAAGGCTGCACCCTATCCTCAAAAACTAACGCCAAGACATCTGTCTTGGCCCTGAATTGCCTTTCCAGCTTCCAGTTCATTTCTTTACTTCCCTTTGTAGCAGAGGTTGTCTCTGCTAGCTATCTCCACTCCCTCCCACGATCGCCTCAGTCCACTGCAGTCCGCTCTTTGACCTCAACTTTCTATGGAAGTTACTCTTTCCAGAGTCACCGTTGACATCCAGCCCCACATCCCAGAGTCAACTCTCAGTGAGCCGCACCTGCCAGTAATCTCTTTCCCCAGGGTGAAGCGTTCCAAGTCCACCCTTGAGGCTTCTCCTCCTTCCCCACCACTCCTGACCCTGTCTGGCTCCACCCCACCTGTCTCTACCAGCTACGCTGCTGTTCCAAGACTGAGACCTTGGTCCCCTTCTCTTTTCCACCTTCACTCCCTCCCCATGAATGGCATTCAGTCTCACAGCTTTGAATATCATCCACAGACCCGACGACTCCCTGATTTACCTTTCCACTAATTCATTCACTCAACAAACATTTATTAAATGCACACTGTATACCAGGTGCTGTTCTAGGTGCTGGAGATGCATCTATGAACAGAACAGGCAAAGATCCCTGCCCCTGACTGTCTGTTCTAGCAGGGAAGACAGGGGATAGAATCAACGTAGCAAAAAGTACCACCTAAACCTACATACATGTACTGGTAATATGCAGAAGGCAGTAAGTGCTATGGAGAAAAATAAATAGGTCAACTTGCAGAAATCAGGGATCGGTCCAAAGTTTGAGCAAACCTTGAGGCATGCAAGGGAATTAGATAAATTAAGCTTTTTTTTTTTTTTTCTTCCTGAATAAAATGGGCAGTCACTGTAGGGTTTTGAAGAGAGGAGTGACAGAGTCTTGCTTAGGATTTAAAACGATCATTCTGTTGCCTCTGTTAAGAGTATACTCTTGGTGGTGGTGGTGTGTGTGAAGTAGGGATGGGCAAAACTGATGCTGGGAGACCATTTGGAAGCTAGAGTGGTCGTCCGATGTTGGGAGCCATAGAGACAGTGGAAAGATACCAAATTCCAGATGTAGTTTGTTGTAGGCTAAAGGGGTTTCCTGGCAGACGGAATGAGGCATTTGAGAGTGGTCAGGGTGACTCCAAGGTTTTTGGCTTGAACAACTAAAAAGATGGAGTCACCATTGACTGAGATGGGCAGGCTTGGGGAGGCTCCCTGGGGACAGATCAGGACACTATTCTAGATATGTTGACACGAAGCTCCAATTACACATACAGGGGAGATTCTGGGTAAACAGAAAGATCCATGACTCTGGAGTTTGGGGGAGAACAGGGGCTGGGGCTAGAAGCATGGCAGTCATGGTAATAGAGATGGTGTTTAAAGCTCTGATTGGATTAAGAAAATGTGGCACATATACACCATGGAATACTATGCAGCCATAAAAAAGGATGAGTTTGTGTCCTTTGTAGGGACATGGATGCAGCTGGAAACCATCATTCTTAGCAAACTATCACAAGAACAGAAAACCAAACACCGCATGTTCTCACTCGTAGGTGGGAACTGAACAATGAGATCACTTGGACTCGGGAAGGGGAACATCACACACCGGGGCCTATCATGGGGAGGGGGGAGGGGGGAGGGATTGCATTGGGAGTTATACCTGATGTAAATGACGAGTTGATGGGTGCAGCACACCAACATGGCACAAGTATACATATGTAGCAAACCTGCACGTTGTGCACATGTACCCTACAACTTGAAGTTTAATAATAATAAATAAATTAAAAAAAAATAAATAAAGCTCTGAGCCTGTGCACTCAGGAGTAAGAATACACAGAAAAGAAGGCTGGGAATTGAGCCCTGAGACACTCACCTCTGAGACCTGGAGGAGGAGAGGGGTCTCCAGCAAAGGAGATTGAGGAGGGGAGAGGTGGGAGGTGCCGTGAGAGTGGAGAGCTTGAAGCCAAATGAAGAGCGCCTTAAGGAAGTGGGGACACCAACCAGCCTAACAGCGAGGCCTGAGACTGACTGCACTCTGCAACACAGACACCCTTGAGACCCTGGGAATGGAGCTGTCTGTGAGAAGTAGGTGCAGAAACTAGACCGGAGTGGATTTAGGAAAGGATGAGAGGAACTAGGGGCTGTGAACAGAGGCAACTGCTTCACGGTATTCACCTGCAAAGGGGGAGTGATGAAATGGGGGAATAACTAGGGGAAAGCAGAGGTCAAGAGAAACTTTTATGTTGGGAAAAATAAGAGCATTGAGATTTCCTGCAGGCCAGCACAAGCCGTACAGGTCTGCTTGCACAGAAGGCAGACACCTGCTTGGTCTTCTTGCATAGAAGCCACTCCTATGAGCTGTAAGTTATCCCTGGCCCGCTACGAGGTTTCATGATGCGATGGAAGATAACAGCATCTTTGTACCTGACGGAAATGATTCAGAAGAGAGAAAAACATATGTTGATGTAGGAAAGTGAGGAGAGGATTTCTAGGGTGATGTTCCTGAGTAGCGAAGGGCCCTAGGTCCAGTGCGTTAATGGGGAGATTTGCTTTCGTTTGTGCCAACATGGGAAGGCATTAAATGCAGCTGCTGCTGGCAGTGAGTGCATATACCAATATGTACAGAAATGTGTGGGGTGCCCAGGCTGGGAGTGGACCCTCAACACTTCTGAACATGACAATGGCTATTTCAAAACCACCAGCAGTTGTCTGCTCCTAAAGGTGGACCCTGGGAAATAGAGCTTTTCCTCTGGCGAAATCAGAGGAGCACCTGGCCTCAAATTATGCAAATCCAAAGCAGGTGTCTGCCTCCTGCACAGAGGCCAGGTGGAAGTCATCCGAAGCCTAAATTCTGACATGTTCTACCCACATGTAAACTGGTGTGTGTCTGTTGACTTGGTTACTTCTTTTAGGGAAAAGGTGATTTTTCTGCTCAGGGTCTTCTCCCATCTGGAGGGGACTGCAGGAAGAACACATAGGGATAGCCCGTCCACCCCATAGCGGACCACTGAGATGTCCGGACTACGCTTCTCACCTGTAGATCAAAGCAACTTGACCACTTATCTCCCAGAAATAATGAGCTCAGACAGTAGGAATATTTGCCTATCATGTTCTAACCAAATGTAATTCCTTGGGGACCGTGAGCAAAGCCCCGTGTCCTGCAAGAGGATTTGGAGTTTCTTCTTGGGAAGGTAGACATTACCCTGTCTGTCATTCCAAGGCCAGAAGTGACTGGGTAGGCAAGACATTCCTGGGTGAGAGGAACCTTCCTCTCCATGGCCCTCCTGGTGAGGAGGTCTGGCCTTAAGTCATGGAGATGCGCGAAGCAGTCCCAGAGGGATAGGGGAGGCAGAGCAGGCACTAGATAAATGGAAGGAGGTGCCCTGGAAGAGACGCTGAGAGCAGCCTACACTTGGACTCTACAAGACACCACTTCTATGCACTCTAAGTTATCCTGGGTTCCTGTGAGGAGTTTTGGTTCTGTTATTCCCAAACCTCCAAGAAGTCTGGCACTGGCCTACAGAAAATCTCGAAGGTTCTATTTCACTCTTGAGTAAAGGTGCAAAAGGAGATGAAGCCTGAAGCCAGAGAGGTGGTGGCAGTGCCCAGGGAACATCTCTGTGTGGTTGGTGGCGGCCTGATGGTGATCACAGCACTGGAGGCTGCAGAGGGCCTCGGTGAGGGGAACATGAAGCCCCCAGTGCACCACCTGAGCTGTAGCCCCATGGGGAAATCGTCAGACATGGCTTGGAGATGGGATTGGAGTGCAGTCAGGACGGCAGGTCCAGCAAATCAACTGCAGGGTCTCAAGCCACTGTAATTTGAGTCCTACAGGAAACGTCATATTCTGGAGTCCATGTCTCACAAAGCCAGGAGTGGAAGACCTGGCATTCCTCCCATTTCTCACCTTCTCTTCACCTTCTACAGCCCCGAATTCCTTAGGGAGATCTCCCAAGACATCCCTATGAACTCTAAAACTCTGTAGAGTGCAGGCTGAAACATGTCAGTCCCTTTGGGATGTCCCCATGTTGAGACAACATGGGGGAACCCATGGGTGGTAACTGAACTGAACTGATGTGACTCCTTTCACACGGAACATGGCCATTGCAGAATGCATCTGTGATATCTAGAGTGAGCTGCAGGCTCGAGAAAGGAAAATTCTGGTTCTGAATGCTTTCAATAAAGTCACATTTATGGAAGGGGGGAGCTAAGTGGCAGGGCATTCCAAGAGCGCTGCCATCCCTCGAGATCTGCACAGCCTCACCTGCCCTTCCCACTGGAAACATCTTCTTCAGTGGAGGAGCAGCCACCCTAGAGCTTCAACCTGAGGGTAAGAGGGTCAGATTTGCAGGACACCTGTCATTCAATAAACCAGAAGTTCAAAAGTTCTGCTGAGAACCTTGGAGCTCTGCCTCTTTAGCCAATGGGAAGGAGAAGGAGAGAGGAACTTGCATTTGGGTGTGTTTTCTGTGGGGCAATGCTTCTTAAGGCACATTTGATTCTCTCAAGAGTACTGTGATGTTGGCAATATTATGTCCAAACACCAATAGATGAGAAAATCAGGTCTCAGCTAAAGGTTGTAACCTGGACCCTTCCTTTTGTTTCAGTGGCCAGAACCCTGCCAACCCTTGCAGCTCCCTGGTTCCCAGTGAGAAGGGCAGGTGAGGCTATGCAGATCTCAAGGGATGGCAACTCTCTCGGGATGCTCTGCCACTGCGCTCCCCCATCCCAGAACCGTGACTTTATTGGAAGCATTCGGAATCAGAATTTCCCTTTCTTGAGCCTGCGGCTCACTCTAAATATAAGAGATGCATTCTGCAGTGCCTCCAAGGCCGTGTTCCGCAGGAAAAGAGTTGCATCAGTTCAGTTACCACCCATGGGTTACTAAGCTCAGTCCTAGGATCATCTGCACCTCTCCTGGAACCGTCCTTGGTGCCTGACAGGACATTAGGTGTGGCAGAGGTTCTCAGTAAATACCTTTATGGAGAGGCATGGGGAATGATGACAGGGACAAGGTGGAAGAGGGAAAGAGAAGAACAGAGAAGGGGACATCTGACACCTGTCCAAGGGGAAGCTGCCCACTCTGCTACATCCCCTTCACTGCTCTGGCCACTAGAGGCCACTAGCCCAGCCACTTTCAAGGCACTAGGTATGTCCATGCTGACACTAAGTCCCTAAGACTTAAACCGAACACCAACTCTTACCTCTTCCCCCAAAATCTATCAGTAAGCAAGTGCCTGGGAGGAATTCTGTAGGCTTAGCATTAATCTAATATCAGTTTATGTTTTAAAAGAAAAATATTTACTCTCTTTGGTTCTTCAGCTATTGTTTGTATAACTTACTTTGGACACTTCATGGGTTTTGTTGTGACACCACAGTTGACAACATCATTCTCCTCACAACTCACAGCTCTCTTTTACAGCCCGTGTTTGTCCTTGCAGTTTCCTTTGCTCCTCCCCCTTTCACACAGACTGCCACCCAACCTTGAAGACTTGGCTCAAATACTATATCCTCTGTGAAGTCCTCCCTGACCACCACCCTCCACTGAGACTCCATCTACTGTGCTCTCACAGTCTTGATGAATCTCCCTCAAAGAGTCAAGCACTTCACTCTATTCCTGTGATTTGTTCCCCAGTCTACTTCTCACCATGATATAAGTTTATTATAGAGCCCAGAAGAGGAATTGGCCATGAGGTAAGAGCTCAGAGAGAAGAAATAAGAGGGAAGACAGGAGAAGGAAAAAGCTGCGAGGGCTAGGCACCCACTTTACCTGCGTGACAGTAACGTTTTCCATCTGGAGAAAGTGTCCACCTGCAAGCCTTTCTCCAAGTGCTTCAGCTTGCCCTCATCAGGAAGGAGGAAGATGGCTGTGATATTTTTATGGTAGGGTATTTCCAGGATGGTGCAAGAGAGCTTATCATCATAGCCAACTTGGTACATGCCACTACGGAACATCATGGGCACCTTGACTGAACTGTTTTTCTCCAGGAAGAAATCTTCCTCTTTAGTTACATTTGGATCAAACTCATGTTGCCACCTGGCTTAGTTTGAAGAAAGACAAAATGACATGATTATCCCATGGGAAAAAAGGTGACTAAATCCAACTAACCACTAGTCTCTGTCCACACAGATTCAGGGTGAAAGGGATGTTCTGGGGTATCAGGGAAGTCCTTGCCCTCATTCCACGTCCTGGAGATTTCTGATGAGATGGGCTCAGGTGCAATTATTAGTTCCCAAAGAAGTCAGGACTAGACTGCTAAATTAAGAGGGGAAAAGCAGACTACCATAAGCCCAGGTTCCCCTAAGCCTGAGAAAGCCCACTGAGTATGTCCTAACAGAGGGGACTGCATTACAATTAATGACGGCTAATTGAGTCTGATGTGAGTAGAAATGCTTGATTCTAATCTGAGTCAGTCCTGAAGGAGCTGCTGTCATGTGGAACTAAGAAAACTGGTAAAACAGGCTGCCATTGGGAGCTTGCCAAAGAGCAGTGAACACTGAAGCCTGGGTGCCTGGACTCTGAAGATACCTCGACCTATTGGGCATAAATTCAGACCTGGGTCTTTCAAACTTGCCACCCGAGAGTCCTCATTGTAGGGCCAACTCCCTGAGTTCAAATCCTGGCCTCACTGTTCTATCTACCTGTCCAAAAGGTTACCAAGGGTTAACCTTGGGTAAGTGTCTCAATCTCCCTGGACTTCAGTGTTCTTATTTGTAGAATGAGGATATTGACAGCTACCTCATAGGGATGCCTTGACATGTAGCGGGATAAGGCAGCACAGCTCAGTGTCTGTGTATAGTGAGGTTGAGTAGGTGCTAGTCATCATCAGCATCGTTATTTTCACTATTATTCCTATTGTTATCTAGGGGACATAGGGATTTCAGGAAATTCCATATTCTCCCTTTTCCTTCTCTGGTTTAGGCACGTCGAGGTTTTAGACTGCCAGTGGTCACCTTTTTTCTTCTTTAGCCATCAATCTGCCTGTGGATTTTGAGAACCCTCAATTTTTTATATTTAGTACCATGTTCCCAACACTCCAGCAGTGATTTTATCTGGACTGATGGGTGTTGGCCTCTGATTCTCACCTATTTTGGCCAACCTGTCTGTGTATATGTGTTCTGTGTGGTGTTGGGGGATAAAGCTGAAATTTGGAAATATTCTTCCGTCTTTTTTTTCTGTCTCTCTCCATCAGATCTGGGAAATACATAAAGTCTGATAAGGAGAATTCATATATATTACATGTAAGAAGACCCACCAAGTGATCACCATCACCATAATGAACACAATCACCATCTCAGGTGTCTGCTTAAAGTGCTGGAAAGCACACGGTGCTAGGGCCAGGAGAAATGGGTTCCAGTCCTGACTCTCAATGATGGGCTTTGTAACTTGGAGTAAGTCAGTTAATCTCTCTCTGAATGTTTTTTCTCATCTAAGAGATGGGAACGAAATGTAATTCTGACCTCTATAATCAATGTTGTGTTAGGATAATCACTAATCATGAAAATGACAGACTTCATAAAGCTCATTTCACATACATTTTCACTTTAAATCTTGATAATTGTATGATGAGTTATGTATCATGGTACCCATTTTATAGATAGGAAAAGTGAGGTTCTGAGAGATAAATGACATATGAATTCAAGGTCAAAGAGCAAACAGTGGCCAACCCAGGTTTTTAACCCAAGTCTAATGGTCATCCTATTCTTTCCACACCAACATGCCAAAAACCTTACCTCGGAAGAAAATATAATTTGTAAGAAGCATCACAGTGCCAGGGTCTATATTCTCGATCAGGTTGTTAATTTTCCCATAGGTTTTATTACTGATAAAGTCATTGATCTGCTTCTGAGTAATTTTCAAATTCTGAAAGTTGGTAAGGATGGTTTCTGCACCGTAAAAGTTCTCGGCATCTTCCAAAAACTTACGCTGGGGCTGCAGCCCCCGGTCAATGAACAGCGTGTTCCCGATGCTCACTTTGAGGTCCTGGGTCTTCTGGTTCAGCTCGTGGATGATGTAATGGAAGCCCTCATGAAGATCTTTTTCTGGGATCTTTCTGAAGTTGAACCCCTGCTTGATCTCATCCAGGGTGCTGTCCTGGGCACCCAGGCACAGCAAGGAGAAAGCTGTAGAGATACTCAAAGGGGATAGCATGATATTCCTGCCAGGGTTGTTGGAGGCCAACTTCTTGAGAAGCTTAAAGCCAAAATCCATGTTCTGCCTTGTAAGCTCCTTGGCTGCCTTCCTTTCCTTCCACCCTTGGGCCTGGCTCAAAGCTTTAGAATTCCTTGGTGAGAAGCTCGGCTTCAGAAGACCTTTCACAGTGAGGAGAATAGCCAGAAAAATAGCCAGGCCCAGCGTGGGGTTCATTTTCCTTGAAGACTATCTTGTTGAGTAGTAGACCTGAGGTTAGCAGAAAAAAAGAACATGATAACCCCATCGCCCACAAGTAACCCAGAGGAAGACCAGATGAAAGAAGAAATACAGTGACTAGTATGTGTTGTACATCGCAGTTTGTGAGTGCTTTGACCCGTTCATAGCGTTTAACCTTTGTAGTCACCCTGGGGACTAGAAATGACTTTCTACATTTTGTAAATAGGAGGACTGAATGTAGAAGACATCTCTTGTTTTTGTACCCTCTTTATGGAAACAGTGTCTCAATTCCTTTGAGGAACAGCTCTCCTCCCCTCCATTGGACCACAGTGAGGATACCCCGTAGTGTAGGCATGTGACCCAGACCTACCGTCATAATACTTCATTCCTTTGCCACACTGGCTGGTTAAAGACGAGAGTGTGGACCAAAATCAGACCAGTCAGTGTCTTTCTAAGGGAATGTAAAAGCCCCTAAACTTTGAGGCAGCTAACTTTGTGAAGTAGCCCTGAAGCTGAATGTGGCCATGGTTTCCACATGTAGGAGAGGAGAGCAATAGAGGGAGGTGGAAAGACAGAAATGGACTGACACATCCGAAGACATCTTCAGAGACCCTGGGCTAAGCTTTACCTCAATTTACTACCCACTTCCATGTTTCCAAGTTATAAAAGCCAATAAATTTCCCTTTTAGAGTTGGCTGGTTTGAGGTGAATTTTTTCCCCTTCAGCCAAAAGAATCATGACTAATTTGCAGAGATCAAGCCCTTTGTTTAAGCGCATATGTTCTCTAGGTGGTGGATGCTCATTCAAGGAGGACTTAGGTCTCCAGGAAACCTTCTTTCCTATACCCTTCCCAGGGAGGGAAGGCGATGGCACCATGGGAGAGGAACAGCCAGGTCTGCCTGGCGCTGGACTGCTGCTCCTTTCACCCACCTCTCAGCTTTGATATCTTCCAACGGTACTGTGAGCTTCTGGGAGACAAGACTTTTAGTTACTGTATGCCCTTAATCTCCAGTCCTAATGCTGCAGAGAGATGTCAAAAGTATGTTGGCCTAATTAATGATTTCTCTGGTTGGACATACTACTGTCAGTGATGGTTACACCAATTCACATGTAAAATGAAGGCAGATTTCTTTACTTGATCATCTGTTATATCATTTAGTCTGCTTTCTTCCTGTGATTTATATCTCGTGTGTCTGTAATTCATGGGTAAGAGTCAGCCTGTCCACAGTAAAGGCTATTCATGGTTGTCTTAGATTGGGTTCCCTAGAAGCGGAACCTGAGATGGGGATTTAGGTGCATGTTATGTATTGAGGCAGTTGTCTCAGCAGGAGCCTGTAGGGAAGTGAGGGAAGTGGGATGGAAAAGGGAAGGAGCCAAGGTGACATCTAGCCTTGGCCTGGTCCACAGTGGAAGGGCTCTCCAGGCTGGCCTTTTGGACAGAATCAGTCAGTTGCTGGCTGTGATCTGTCCTGTGGATGCAGGTCATGGTACATAACTGGGTCAATTAGGTCTTATCAGCCAAGGACAATTGTCTGGAGAGGGGAAGGCCACTGTGAGCTGTCAGCAGCCAACCCTCACAGCAGTACCAGCAAAGGGGAACTGGATCAGCCACCAACAGGGTCTGCACAGCTCAATTCCCATGCCTGGCTCTTTCTGGTTGACTGAATAAGCAGATGAATGAACACTAGGCAGGGCTTGTACCTGGGAGTGTCCCCAGTTCCCAGGTTCTTCATGTCCAAATCCTTCTATGCCAAGCACTGTGGATAGAGCCTTGATCACAACAAAGGTCTTCAAGGAGTTTGTAGTATAGTATTGGAAAATTCCAGTGAATAATGCTCATTGCTTCCTCAGCATCCATTCTCCCAACTTCCCAATAGATCATCCACCTCCTTCTCCTCTTCTCCCTCCTTCCCTTCTTCTCCTCTTATCCTCTCCTCCTCATCTTCTCTTTCTTTTTCTTATTTTCAGTAATATACTCCTCTCTCAGGCAGCCCATGTGCCTCAGGGACAGAAGCTCCTCCCTACTCCAATGGAGGGCCTGATTGGTGCAGGGGCATCTCAACTCTCCTGCTACTGGTTGCTTCAGGAGCCAGACCTCATCTAATCATTGCAGGTGGGAATTTCTGCCCTGATACTTGTTTAGGGAGGGGCATGTGGCTTAAAAGGTACAATGAGGGAGGATTTCAAGACTGTTTGTTGGAATGTTGGGGTGCTGCCCTGTCTCTTTCCTGGGATATCCTGGGCAGGAAGGTATGGCAGGCAGGGACTAACAGCAACTTTGCCGCATGGGGGAAGTGACTCGAAAGCAAAGCCAGAGCATGAAGAGGATGCATCCAAGGGTTCTTAGGAGAAATCGGAGCTGGGGTCACGGAAAAAGCTGGCCCCAGAGCACACCCTGCCTCTGGACCCCCAGTGACATTGAGTTACATGGTCATTTCCTTGAAGCCAAAAACATCCTCACAAATACGGGCAGATACATTTTTTTTTTAAATGCCAGGACTATGAAGTAGGCAGGAGTTCTGTGCTCTGCTCTCATGCCTTCATAGCTGTGTGACATTCCAGGAAGCACTTTCCCTCTCTGAACCTAGGTGCTCTCTACGCACCTTCCACCCCCAAAAACTACTTTTTGGTAAAACTTAATAACAGCTGGTGATAAACAAGGGCTCTATGGGCTGTCTGAAAACAGACTGTAGAAGAGAAATTAGTAAAATTCCCAAGGATGCTTCAGATAAACAAAAGAAAATAGAAAATGGGAAGGATTCCATCTCAGGGTTTAGGGGGCTGCATTGTTTACAAAGGCTGCCTGGATTAAAAACAGAAGCTTCTGCTATTCAGAGTGTACGCAAGTGCCCAGTGCCTAGGAGTGGAGAAGTTAAGTCATGTCCCTCAAGGAGCTGAGAAAACATTCTCAGCAGCAGGTTTCACAGCCATTTGACACGGAAGCCGTTCAGCAGCCTGGCAAGAGCCTTGGGACGAGGCCGGGCAGGGCAGGGCCGGAGCAGGGAAGGAACCTGCAGAAAGCGCCATCCCGGGAACACTTTGTGGCACGCACAGCTTTACTGTGATGTTCAGTCGCTGTGCCCTCAAGTTTTCTCTACATTGCCAAGCTTCAGAAACGAGAACAGATTATGGAATTCCAGGTCTGGATGGCGGTTCTCCCCAACTTGTGTGTTTGTTAGGTGTTTCAAGGCAAGTCTCCTCACCCTTCAGGCTTACGGTATCTTTATCTATTAAATGAGGGGAAGGTGGTGATAATTTGGTTTCTTCCCCCATGAGATGCTGGTGATTAGGTGGCACTGCCACCGCCCCCCCCCCCCCCCAAGGGACACAGCCCACACCCTGGCCTGGCCAGGTCTCAGCACCCTCCCACCTTTGCATGCCTGTGCAACAACGGTCCCCACCAGGCCTCCTGCCCTGGCTCCCTGAGTGCCAACATCTGGCCTTTCTCCCCCAAACAGCCCACACCAGCCCAATTCTGGGCCTTTCCATCTATCATCACAGGCTTTAAACTGACCCAAATTTGTCAGTTGGGTTAGATACCTGAGTAGGCTAATTTTTAATTCCATCAATTAAAATAGCTGAGCAACTGGTTATTTCCCAATCAATTGATATGTTGCTCTCCTGAGTTGAGAAATTGTTTGTTGGCTTTTAGTTTGGAGTGTGTGTGTGTGCGCGCGCACGTGTGCGTGTGTATGTGTGTATCTGTGTGTGTTTGGCTGTCACTCAAAATAAATAAAGAGATAAAGCTAAAACAAAACCAAGAAAAAAAGAGAACAAGATAGAAACCGAACCCCATGGGGTACACATAGGACACATAAAGCTATAGTCAGTATTTCAAGTCTCTGACCATCCTACTCCCATGCTCCCTATTAATTTGGAAAAATAATTTCCTCCTCTTATGACTAGATAAAATAGTGCCTTACTGACCCGGAAGTCATTCATCCTAAAGACAGATCCAAACCAGGTGGGAAGCGTCTGCGCAGGTAGCACAGGTGGCTTAAGTCTACACGAGAGGGCGTGTAGCAGTGGGAGGGCACTGCTTCCACCTCCCACACCGTCCCGATGAGCCAACTGAAGCAACAGTGAATGATGACAGCAGACTCAACAATAATAATATTTCCAAATTTACAGAGTGCTTCCCCCATTATCGCCACAGTTTGAAGAAACAATACCTAAACAGGAAGAGCACACACAGGCTACAGAAGAGCTACTCAGCGCACAGTGGTTTGGAACCAGTTTCCTTTAGAGAGACCTCCCCCTGTCCTTGGGCAGGTCACTCCTCTCCTGATAGTTGACCACCCTCCCTCTCTTCCTTGGGATGAAACTGACTGACTAGGAAGAGTTGGTGTAATATCCTTCTTCAAGCCAATGAGACCAAAATGTTTAGAATACTTTGGACAAGTTCCCAAGTCTTGAGAACCAACAGAGTGAGCTTCAGGCAGTTAGTGTGTTCCCTGCTCATCGAGGAGATGCTTCCTACAGTCCTTCCTGCCCCAGAAACCCCTTCCTGCCCCAGGAACCCCAGGCCCTCTGAGATGCCACCTTTCCTCAGAACCTTTTCAAAGCGCCCCTTGGAGTGTGCAGCACTTGGGTAAACTCGGTGCCCTCCCTTGGGCTGAGAAATCTGAGGAATCCTTGCTAAAGATGTGCCTTAGCCTCCCAACAGAAGACCCTCACCAGAGCCCCATCTTGAAGAGCCACTCCAGGCCTGCTCTGTGGCTCACCTGTTTTAAAGGACTGATATTGCTTTTAGAAGAAATCACTCAATATACAGTAGAAATTAAATTACTATTTTTAAAAGCACATTTAGAACTAAGTGGTAGTAAGATACATCTTCTCTCCCCTGTTAGAAGTAAGAGAAGCCCTGTAAACAAACTCTGATGACCACAGCAATATACTTTTTCCTCCTTCCTGGAAAACAAAGAGTGGAGCACATGTCCCCATTCCACTTCTTAATTTGCCCTGTAGATTTCTGCCTTCATTCTTGAAGAAATATGTTTGAGTCCTCACTCTGTGTCAGGCACTGGGACACTACAGCAATGCCTAGGAAATGGTCCATATTGGTGTTGCAGACTGACTCTCAGCCCAGCAAGCCCCACAGCTTTCTCCAAACCCTAAAGAACTTTCCAGCTGTTTGCCTGACGTGGTCCTCCTCCCCTTCTGTGACTGCATTCTAAGAGGAGGGGTATGTGGGTTGGAAAGGCTGAGAGATCATCTACTTCAGGACTATCTGTGCCATAAAGAGGAAAATGAGGCTCAGAGTGGACAAAGGAAGACATCGTGGTTGCAACGTGCATCAGTGGTGAGAATCCAGCTGGTGAAGGCAATTCTGCAGAAATGCATTGAACAGGCTCCTTGGCCTCACTTTCTCCACGAATCAGTGAGTTGATAGATCTAGCCTCTGTCCTCAGAGAGAGAGAAAGATTCCCAAACAGCTCACATACAAGGCTGACTGTGGCCAGCATCATGCAGCAAGGGTGGACCCAAGTTGGAGGCACCACTTATGTCCCAAGACCTCTCCCATCCCCACATTCATGAAGCTTTTTTCTCTAGAAAAGCACTTGGCAG